CTCCTGCCTAAGCCCTCCAAGCCTCTGGGATTACAGCTGTGCACCACTGCATCCAGCACATAGTATGTCTCTTAAGATAGAACACAGACTAATGACTATAGCATCAGGCTGTGCCCCTGCATAAAACAAACCAGATGGAAGACCCAGGCACTGTGGCACACTAAGGAGGTCTCGGCCCCCKCAGCTCAGACAAAAGGGCTCTTGTCCCTTCCAAAAGTTTTTGTTTGCTTTGTTTTTTTAACTTACCATGTTTCTAGCCTAAGAAAATAATCCCCAAACTTTAAACAACTAATTTGCAACTACTAAACAGCATTTTCATTTGTACACAAAAAATCAAATGGAATTTATCATTTTTTTAAAAATACTTTTTTTCGGTTGTAATTGGACAATACCTTTGTTTATTTATTTGTTTGTTTGTTTATTTATTTGTTTATTTTTAATGTGGTGCTGAGGCTCAAACCCAGGGCCTCGTACATGCTAGGCAAGTGCTCTATTGCTGAGCCACAACCCCAGCCCCCGGGATTTATAATTCTTAACAGTACACAGATCTCTATTAGGATTTTCAGATTAAGATGCCTCTGACTTCACCCTGACAAGCCAGTGGTGCTCCATCAAGTCATTAGACGCAGCCTGACAATGAGAGGCCTTGGAAATGCCCTTGCACATGAGAAAGACAGGGATGTGGCTGATGCCCACCCCAGTGGGCCAGGTGGTGTTTAGACAACAGAAATGGAATGGTAACAAGATACCAGACCCTGACCTTCATGGAGGTGACATTTATCATGGCGAAGTGGTCCAACCAGTCAGGGAACAGGTAATATGGTCTCAGATAACAATAAATACTGCAAAAATAAAGCTAGGGCAAGGATGGAGTGTGGGAGTTTTTAATACAGGGGAATCTAAGAAGGCCTTTCTAGAAGGTGACAAACAAGACAAGATCTGGAGGAGGTGAGGCTCCACACCATTTCCATGAGGGACAGTGCTAGAACATATGGACCCCGGTGCTGGTTAAAGTTCAGTTTCCAACTGAGCAGCTGGGGGTCGAGGGGGAGCAGTGCTGGGACTCGGTAACAGCCCAGGCATGTCTCCAGGACCAAGCTCAGGCAGAACAAAGAGACAAGGAAAAGCCCCAGCCAGCCTGAGCTTGCCAGGGAAGCCAGGCAGCCGAGGAGGCCAGGAGTCACAAAGGCCCCTGCAGCCAGGGCAAGGGGTGCGGGTTAGTTCTGGAGAAGGGCRTCCAGTGCAAGTGCTAAGCTGGGCGAGGACACATGCAGTGAGAGAAACGCTSGAGTGGGCAGAGGAGATGCCAGCTGTTGCGGCCGTCCCGAAGCAACAACAGTGGCCAGGATGGGAATGCTGGGGTGGTGGCTGGGGAGACGGAAATAGCGTGCAGACACTCATCCACAGGATTCCAGAAAGCCTCGCCAACTACRGCTCCCAGCCCCAAATATGCCTGCTGGCCACCCCGCAGCTTCCTTTAAAATCACCAGGAAAGCAAGCAAAGCATCGAGTAGGTGGCAAGTACCTCTCACACAGCTCCCGGTGACTGCAATAATTAATGTTTGTAAGTCAAAGCAATCACATCTGCCCCATGTCAGAATAAACAACCAGCAACCTCGACAGCACCACTCAATGGATAATTACTCCAAACAAAACTAACGAACCTGTTAAGTGCACTTGGTAATTCACAGGCATGGAAACACCACAAGACGACACACAGGAATTTTACTTTCCCAGACGAAAGCATGGCATGAGGTGGCTCAATTCTACTATCTGCTGGGTACAGTGGGTCCCACCTGTCSATACCAACCATTAGAAGAACCTAAGTTGGGGGCCAGGCTGCCCAGGGAAGTGGGCACTGCTCCAACACAGGCAGGAAGGGCGGCACAAACCACCTGGCTTTGTGGGGTTTACAGCCGCTCCTAAGATCTCAAGTTCAAGATCACTACAAAAASCTAAGAAACCATTTCCTCCAAACTGTGCACACGGCTGATGGTGTCCTCTCACTCCAGCTCCAACCACCCCCTTCACTTTTCCTAAGTCACTGGACCTTGCAAAGCTACTGCCACRCAGAGCACAACACATCTCCTTG